AGGAGATTGGTTTACATTGTCTTAATGTAATTTCATCTTTTTTCTTCTTCTTCATCTCGCAGTTAATGATTCATTGTTTCCAACTTCCAAGCAAGCTTTACCTGCATTTATCATATATACAAACATGAAAAATCACATAGAAAACACACAAATCAGTTTTACAATTGTTAAACATGAATAAGATTTTGATTACTAATAAAGAAAATAACGGATTTTACAATTGTTAAATCATTTCTATCGGTTTTGTATAATAATGATAAATCAGTTTTAATAAACCCGGGCACGATTTAACCCGAACAGCCGTCGGATCCAGAAGCGGGTTGATAGCGTCTTCGTCGGTCGTCTTACCATTCTCAAAAATCAAAACCCCAGAAAAAGCGAAAACCTCTCTTCTTCGTCTCTCACCGTCAAAAATGGATTTCCAGGTTGTGATTCTCGCCGGCGGCTTCTCCAGTAATCTTGTGCCCTTAGTCTCTAAGGTCTCCTTCTCTCGCTCTCTCAATCCTCATCACCGAAACAGTCTATTAGGCTTATTATTATAGCTAATCTCTCTCTCTCTTTCACTGTGTAGGAAGTCCCTAAGGCGCTGCTACCCGTAGCTAATCGTCCGGTGTTATCTTACGTTCTCGATCTGCTCGAGAGCAGTAATCTCAAGGATCTGATTGTCGTAAGCAATTTATATTTTCATCGAAATTGCACAATTTCTTCTGCGAGTTTTAGGTTTGAATGTTAGCTTAAGGTTAGATTTCGTTCGCATTGATGCAAAGGTTGTTGAAGGAGAAGATGCAGCTCTGAAAGTTGGTGGATGGATTTCTTCTGCCTGTGTTGATCGTTTACATGTCGAGGTATTCTATTCTTCTCAGATAATTGTATCTTCTTTACCTTAGGATTGAAGGCTGTTTCTTTATCTAGATCCAATGCAATGAAAGTGGTGCTTCACCTTCAATATTAATCAGCTTAGGGTACATAACACTAGGAAAGTAGGAACATTTTGAATTTTCTGATTGAGTAAGGCTATATATCCTGCCTCCAATGGTTAATAGCTTTAATCACTCTGGAAGACTTTTCGGATATCTTGCTTGTCCTGAGGTTATGGATCTGACGAGCTGAGAAGTTACTCAGTGTTCTGTTGGATATCTTATTTCAGGTTGCGGCTGTTGCTGAGAATGTCGGAACTGCTGGGGCTCTCAGGGCAATTGCACACCACTTAACTGCTAAAGACATTTTGGTTAGCCACAGTAAAGCCGTCTCTCAGCTTTTACACCTCCTCGTAGCTTTTGACCTTCTTGCTAATTGTTAACTTGCCTTGACGTAGATCGTAAGTGGAGATATTGTTTCTGATATTTCTCCTGGTGCTGTCGCCGCCACTCATAGACGACATGATGCATTGGTAACTGCAATGCTTTGTGCTGAACCTGTCAGTGGGCCATCAGAATCCGGGGGCACTGGTGGGAAAGATAAAACCAAAAAACCTGCTTGCTATGATATCATAGGGCTTGATTCCTCGAGACAATTCTTGTTATACATAGCCACAGGTCCCTAATTTGAATTCTCCTTTTTGTTTCTTAGAGGCAACAGAATGCTTGAACATTTTGTTGGTTAATTGTGATAGGGGCCGAGATTAAGAAAGATACCCGCGTAAAAAAGAGCATTCTCTCTGCGGCTGGCACGGTAATGTTTTTCTAATTGTTTTTTTTTTTGAAGTGACCTACAATACTGTTTTCCTTTTGACTGTATGATGATTCATATATTAATAAAATTGTAGTACAGTTTCTTATTATTTTGTCATTTCCGATCTAGATGGAAATTCGATCAGATCTCATGGATTCTCATGTATACGCCTTCAAGAGGTTGGCTGTTTCTGCTATTTCCTGCTTACAAATTAATTTTATCTGTCAAGACTCAATATGTTATTATCTTGTGTCTTACAGATCAGTCCTGCAGGAAGTTTTGGATCAAAAACCTACTTTTCGGAGCCTAAAACAGGATGTACTCCCATATCTTGTTCGTAGGCAGCTGGTTAGTTGGATAAGGTCCTTGCAAATGAGATTATACCATTTGTTTTATAACCATTCTGATCTTTTTTGTGTGTGTTTTCCCCTTGAGTATCAGAGATCAGATGTCTTCTCTGATGATAAAATTGTAGAAGAAAATGGAAACGGAAATGGAAAGAATAATATGCAGAACAACGAGGTGGTTTTGTCTCAGATTCTATCCAACGCATCTTTGCCAAGCTTTCATCAAGTATATGAATCAGTTCTGAATGGCCGGAAGACCCATAAATGCTGTGTTTATATAGCGGATGAAAGTAAGTATTGCATCCGCTTGAATAGCATTCAAGCCTTCATGGACGTAAATAGAGATGTAAGTTGTTATCTTATTACATGTGTTCCACACATGAATTCCTTCTATAGTATTTTTCTTAGCTAACGTTTGGATCCACAATTATTCAAAATTTTGCAGGTTATTGGTGATGCGAACCACCTATCTGGATACTCCTTTTCATCTCATCACAACATTGTCCACCAATCAGCAGAGCTTGGATCAAAAACCACTGTAAGTCATCTCTGTGTGCATTTTTTTCTGTGCGTCGTAATTGTCAATAACGCATTGTGTGTTGCAGATTGGACCTCATTGTATGCTAGGAGAAGGCTCTCAAATGGGTGATAAATGCAGTGTCAAAAGATCTGTAATCGGGAGACATTGCCGGATAGGCTCCAATGTGAAGGTATCAATGTGCTTTTACTCACCACAGATAACTAAAAGAACAGAAGTCATGGAAATTCACTGAACTTCTTGTTTGTTGATGCAGGTGGTTAATTCAGTTGTGATGGACCATGCCACCATTGGAGACGGGTGTTCAATACAAGGCTCAGTCATTTGCAGCAACGCACAGCTTCAAGAGCGTGTTGCTTTGAGAGATTGCCAAGTATGTCGCTCCCTGCAGTAGTTTTCATAATACACGAGTAGACATATCTATGCTTTTACGTATCACGCAATCAAAACATGATTTTTTTTTGCTTTTTAGGTGGAAGCAGGCTATGTAGTTTGTGCCGGAAGCGAGCACAAGGGAGAGACCTTTGCCCGAAAGTAATGAGAAAGGTAAAGCCATCTGAGATTACATCTTGGAACGATTTTTCCAAGTGGATAGCATTTCTTAGTGATTCTTTCGTTGAACAGAACAGCGAGGAGAAGAGTGAGAAGGATCGTAAAGCTCCCTAGTCCCTATTAAGATTTTGCTGATTAGAGTTGAGGATTTTCATTAGTATGTTTTGCTGATAGGGTTTGATCTCTTGAATTTGTTTTTTTTTTCTTTTTTATAATCTTTTGCACTTCATTTCATATCAACCTTGGGAGACCACCAGACCATAACCATTTGTGTATTACCATCTGCCAAAGATTGTTTTACGGTGTCGATCTTACCGTGTCTCTAGTCACATAATCCGCTTCCCTTTATGTTACACCAGCTTTGTAACAAGCTCAATTAGTAAACTTTCTTTTGGGGATTAAGCTGATTCAATGCTTTGCTCAAACTCCTTGCTCCATGGCTTCTGCGAGACGGGTGAAAACTTAGCCAAGAGTGTTGTATTAGTCTCAAGAGATATAGGCAGCGTTGCTCACCGAGTTTTGCATACAAATTTTGCACCAAAAAACATATCTCCATCAATACCAAAAGATCAACACAACCTTAACTTTTGCGCAAAAGTACGTAAATTATTATTGATAACATACGAGTTCTAATCAATGGTCTTTTCAAAAAGTTAGCTACACCCAAGAAAAAAATGTACAAAGTTGCCATCAAATCAAATTATGAAACAACTTCTGATTCTTCACGAACTTTCATTTCTTCACTCATCCTCGCTTCCCCACAATGTAATTTTTATTTCGAGATTAAACCTGCAGAACCATAAGTAAATCCTACATCCAATACCAAATCCTTGATGTCAGATGAGAAAAAACTGCATCATATTCAAACATAGCCAGGTTTTGAAATTTCTTTGCCACAACCGCAATGAGATGTTTTGCAGCATAAGAACATCATATTCAAACATAGATAATTCTCTTGATATTCTATCAATTCTTGCATTGTTGTTATATGGTTTTTCGAAACTAGCATCCTCCATGCCTTTGAGTCAATATGAATTGGTAGGAGTCAATGAAACAATTAGAAATTTTCAGGTTATCTTCTTATAAGCCTTAGGCCATTGTTCTGTGTGTTTAAATAACCAAAGCTTTCTCGACTCAACCATCATGCAACTGTGAATTATGACAGACGCAGCCCCATATGAGAAACATGCGTTATCTAGTGTCGGGACTGAGATGAAAGGATGAGTCTAGAACCGAGAATGCACAAGCTTAAAAGAGATAAACACAAGGATAGACACTTACCTAACAAAGTTCTCTACAGTGAGTTAACTAGCTGTTTCTAAACATCTTCATGACACCTCCTTGGGTGTGGAATACAAAAATGAGAGTGTCCACCGCTTCAGCCAGCAACCTTCATTACGCCCATCTCATCAAGCTTTGAGCTCTTATGCTGCAAAATTTTGATTATAGGGATAAGCAAAATAAGATTTCTTAAGGAACTACTACTTTAACTCTTACTGTGCGAGCAAACAGAAACGCCCAAATTCAGCTCAACTAACAAGGAGATGCCTGCATTGCCACTAGTACATTACCTTGCTTTTTTTATGCCTCTGAATGTCATCAAGATCTTCATCCCCATTGTTTTTTCTTTTCTGAAAGTTAAGTGACAAAAGGTACCATGTAAATTCTACAGAATTTGAGAATCTAATATATAAAAAAATAGACAGCCTATGTCTGCTAAATTTCATAATCTGAAACCAACAATGGACGAAGGGTACCAATAAGCTATTCCAAGGGAAGAAAGAGAGCAACAAGAACAGACAGTTCTCTTACCTTTTCATGGTGTCCACT